GTAATATTCATTCATTTAAAATATGCCATATCTTATTTTTCAAAGGAATCTTATTTAAAGCCAAGAGCAAAGTAATAGTTGCATAGATGTTAGGCCACAGCAGGTTACCATGTGTTTGATGAGCTTTGCACCAGAAAATTCTTAAAATCTCAGTTGAAAAAATGGCTCCATTAGGACTTAAAAAAAAAAGGCAGAATTATTCATGACATATTTTGTATATTTAGAATTGAATTTTAATTCATAAGGACAATGCTTATTTCAAATATTTAAATTGGAATAAAACTAGAGGGTAGTCTTATTATAACATAAAGACCAATTATAATGATAACTTTTTTAAACATATATAATTTGTATTTCTGTTATACTAACATGGCATAATAGCGCTGGTAGTGTAGTGCCTGAGGCACTTCCCTGCTAACCGGAAGGCTGGTGTTTCAAACTCACCAGCTACTCCTCAGAAGGAAGGTGGGGCAATCTACTTCCTATAGTGATACTGCCTGGGAAACGCAAGGAGGGGTCACTATGAGTCAGATCTGACTGGATGGCACACAATAACAATAACAACAACAACAACATGGCATGCCTTTACAACACATAATTAAGAACAAGTAAGATATTTAGTTGGGACCTGATGGCATAGTGCCTAAAACATTTGACTGCTAAACAAAAGACTTGTGGTTCAAACCCACTCCTCGGAAAGAAGACTGGGCAATCTACTTCTGTAGAGATACCACTTTGGAAACCCAGTGAGGGGTCGCTATGAGTCAGAAAAAACTTGACAGTAGTAAGTTTGTTTTTTTTTTGGTTTAAGATATTTAGTTAGTCCTCCAATTACTCATATAAAACCAAGATAAAAATGGAGAAAGAAACTAAAAGAAAGCTTATGAGGTTTTAGGGTGATAAAGTTGCTTTAACTTGGTAGCTCTTGGTTGCTTGTTAATCACAAGGTCAAAAGGTCAGTAGTTCAGACCTATGAGCCACTCCATGGGAGAAAGATGTAGGAATCTGCTTCCTTAATGATTTATAGTCTTGGAAACCCTATGGGGCAGGTTTACTCTGTCGTATAGAGTCTCTATGAGTCAATATCAACTTCGTGGCAGTGAGTTTAGGTTTAGGTTTTTAAAGTTGCT